TCCCTCTAGTAATAGCTTGTAGTTGCACTTTACAGGCAACATTTAGTACTTCATCACTTATGTGCTTTCACCTGCCAACTGTCATAGAATCATAGAAAGTTAGGCTTGGAAGGGATCTCAGGAGGTCATCTAGTCCAACACCCTGCTTAAAGCAGGACCATACCTAGCTAGATTATCCTGACCAAGGCTTTGTCTACCTGGGTCTTAAAAACCTCCAAGGGTGGAGATTCTACATCCTCTCTAGGTAGCGTGTTCCAGTGCTTTACTACTCTCCTAGTGAGGATGTTTTTCCTAATATATAACCTAAACTTCCCTTGCTGCAGCTTGAGACCGTTGCTCTTTGTTCTCTTATTGGCCACCACTGATAAAAGACTAGCTCCGTCCTCTTTGGAACCCCCCTTCAGGTAATTGAAGGCTGTTATTAAATCCTCTCTCGGCCTTCTTTTCTCTAGACTTAATAAGCCCAGACCCTTCGGCATCTCCTCCTATCCCACTCCTGTCTTTTCTCTCCACAGAGCTGTACAGTAATGTAATAAATTTGCTGCAGCTTCCTTGGGCACCATCCAAATGGTGTCATCTCTTAACCAGAGGGTATATATCATTAGTTCAAGCGACTGGTAATGGGATAGAGAGATTCTCTTGGCCAGGTCTTTTGCTCACATTCAGCCCAGATCAGCAGTGTCACCTTCCCATGTATTTGGTGGTAGCCTACTGAACGAAAGTTTCATATTAGATGGCTGTTCTATGGTTTATAGGAAATGAATTAGTAGTCTCAATCCAGTTCTCAGTGGGCACAAGATGGGCACAACATTTACACAAGATGGTTCCTGCGCAGTAGCCTGCTGGTCAAAAATCGTGCTAATATGCTACTGCACAGTGTTATTAGGCTACTGGACAGTGAGTGTAAAACAAACAAAACAAAACCCCAGTGTGTTGGTGCTGCTGCACAGTAGTGCAAGTAACTGTGCATTGAATTAGTACTTGGTTAACCAAGTACTAAACTTAATGTACAGTAGCTAGGGCGTATTAATGAACGTGCAGATATGCCAGTAGAGAGAATATTTGTCTCACTTGAGCCCTTTGTTGATAGTATTGTCAGTGAACAAAGGGGCAGAAACTCAAATGTTCCCTCACTCATAGAGAAGGTCTCTCTATATTGGGATTCAGTTAAGGCTGGCAGGAAGCATTATAGGAAACCTGCATATCTGCTGCTTCTATCCAGCCTTTTATGAGCAGCAACACAAGAATTAAATCTCCACTTCTGCTGGCAGTTTCTCATGTCTGTTACACTAACTTAAATGGGCATGAGGGAAACCTACGTTTATAGACACAAAAAGATAAAAAAGATGACTAGGCTAAAGCAATGTTTTCACAGCATGAGACTGTTTGGTAGTATGTTAATATAACATGAGACGGCTGTATTTCCAACTAAGACCTTAATAGTGGTTAGTTGGATCTAAACTAAGTAAGCAAACAGGCTCAGAGCTTGAAATTAGACTTTTTGAGCCCCATGGTGCTGATCCTACTAGAAGGTGGGTATGTCTACATGTGCATTAATGTGCTGTAGTTACTGCACATTAAGTTTAGTACCTATAATAACAGGTACTAACTCAATGCACAGTAACCAGCACTACTGTGCAGTAGTGCCAGCATACACCTTTTTAGTGACATTAATGGACAGTAGACTAATTCTACTGCACGTTAGCACATCAACACCTCTTCTGCCATGACGCAGTAATGCAGAATATAATTAGTTTCCTGTGCGTTTAATGTCTCGTGTCAATGTGCCTGGTGAGCTGCAAAAGAAAGTTGCAATCCCATTGTGCTACAAGTTGGTAAGATGCATAATGCAAGCCAGCAAAAATGGGAAGTGATATAATTTTAAAACCATCTAGCAGATCAGCAACTCCTTTGTGAGCTAAAGGGAATGAAATTACAGCACATCAGTAAGAGCTGGAAATGGCATTTAATAGCAGTTTAAAGATGATTCCACTGATCCACATAAAATTGGACCTTCCTATCAAGTTCCTTCAGACCTCCATCATTTTAACCTATCTGCATTTAAAATACTAATTAGGACCTGGGGAAGAAGGGGGGTATAATTTAATGGGAGGCATTTGAGAGAAAGTCAGATCTGATCAGGTAACCTAATTAAAAAAATATTAAGCTGTGTTTATGAATCCTCCTAATATTTCAAGTGGGTTTAGCTAGCACTGTTTTTGAAAGCATGTGTTTTCCCAGACTAGACAAAGTATGCAGAGAAGAGTATGCTGAAGCTGAATTATTCTGCAAGGGTGGAGATTACCAGTGGGGACAGAAGCTGGAATGAACTGCAGAAAAAAAAAGTCACACATGTGAAGGAAAAAAGGTCTAGATGAGAAAGCATACCTAAAGTAAGATTCATTTTAAGCTTGCTGCTGTGGATTCCCCTCAGTCTAGAGCCTCACCAGCAGTGGAAAGGGACAAAATGGACACTCTGTTTGCTTCAGAAAAAATGCATGAATGGTACTTTACTTATTGTGTCATTTAGGTGGAAAAGGCAGAAGGATCTGAGCATGCACATGTGCATGTGTACATCCAAACTCACACCCTCCCTCTTATGTCTATTTAGCAATAGTTAAAGATGGTTTAGTCATCACCAGGTGCATCTACACACGATTTATTGCTGAGTAGACTAGTTAGCTCCACAGTAAAACGTCACCATGTGCGCCGGTATTATGGCACAGTAAACTAATTAACTCTACCTTAAAATAGTACTGTCCCTAACAGACAGTATGGCAGGATAATTAACTGCACTGAAACACACACGTAGGTGGTGACCAGGTGGGGGCCAGTCAGACTCTTGCCTGCCACCTAGCCACACGGTTCCACAGATTCAGCACCCTTGTGTCCCAGTCAGCCACTCCATTGCCCGACGCTGCCATCCGGAGCTCAGGGCTGACACCCCAGGCTGACTGCCAGCCCAGGCCTGCTCTGACCTCACTCCAGTTGCTGCCATCCTGGGTAGACATGTAGATGCTGTGCCTGGAAGCAGTTTGCTCCAGCTCAAACAGTTCTGGAGTTTATTGCTTCGCCTTAATTTCATGTGTAGATGCATGCACTGTGAAGCAATCTTTGACAGTGGCCATTTGCAGTATGTGACATGGTGCATATGGCCTTCCTTTAGATCCCTAAAGGGCACCATGCTCTCATTCACCAAACATCACACCTGTTTCACAGTATCCTATCCCACTCCACTTCCTGCAGAGGGACCAGGCAAGTCAGAGGATGTTGGAGGAAACAGTATTAATTTAGTGGCATGATTTTGTTGTTTGAGTGAGACAGAACTGCAATTTGGGAGAGGAATGAAGCCTTAATTGGAAGGGTATCTGCACACAACATATTGGCAGTATGAATCACCAAATCCCGCCTTGGTGTTCCAAACCTTCTGCCCCTCCTTCATCTACTAGTCTGGACACCCCTCCCACTGCTCCTCTGCAAGCGTAGTTCTGTTTCTGACCCCTCTACTGGCTGGTAGTTGTTAATCTCCGCTTGGGGGATTTCCACAAAGAGGAGGCACAAAGCAGTTCGTCCAGAATTTCATCTCTTGGACTCTATGGCACTAAAAAAATCAAGTGAAATGGGATTTGGGTGCCTAACCTAAAGTGACTTTTTTATTATAGCTAAACATATTTTCATCTGAGCACCCCAGGAGTGGGATAAATGCTTAACCTGGATAATTTTAATGCCACTTGAAAAATATTGTCAATCAATAAGCATCTACTTCTGATAATAAATGCTATCAGAAATAAATGAAATTATTTGTATCTATAGTTAGAAATATGAAAACTGTCAAAGGAGGGTAGTTCAATTCTATCAATTTTTAGGAATATGGCAAGCTCTTAGAGCAACTTCAAGCAATGAGAGAGTGGAGGTGGATGACAGGTTAAATGCTATTTTGATATACTTCTTTACTTGCTAGTCACACACTCTCCACAGATTCATTATTGGAATTATAATTCTGCTTCAGGCTTCCAGACAGAAGCTTGCTAGGGTTGTTGAAGTTAAAGACCTTAGTTTTTGTAATTTCTAGGTATTCATGTTAAACAGAACTGCCAGAGGAGCAAGCTGTCCAAGTTGTTTCATTTATTTCTTAATATCACAGCTGTACAGTTTTCATACATACAGAAGGAAATGCGCATTGGTTAACCAATGGCATTTGGCTGCATTTCCAATTATAATACAGTAAGTGCAACTCCACTTAAAAATGTACATTTATACAACTTATACAAATTAAAGATTGCTACATTATTATCTGTGACAGTATAAAGCTTGTTTTATGTTAAGTTTCATTACTAAACCACTTCCTGGTTAAATATAAAATGTACTGAATCATTTTAAAATGGCCCTTGTGGTACCTGGCCAGTATATAAAATATTTGTCATGTAAAAGTCAACCATTTACTTTTTTTAAAAAATAATCTTCTAACCCTATTTCAACATTTGTTATTAAACTGTTATACTGACACACTTTGTAGCAGGAACTGGATTTTTTACCTTTGTTCTGTTAATTCTTGTACTGGTTGTCAATGAAAGAAATTTAATTTGCAAGGTACTGTAGCTTTATTCAAATGCAGCCGGATGGCAATACTATTTGACAATTTGCTCAAAAGGTAAATAACATTCCCTTATGAAGAAAAATGAAATTATGTTCAAGAAATATTGTAATTGAAATTTTAATGGGTACAGTGCTACAAGCACACACAAACAAGTATTCTTTTCTCTTAAGACCCAGCTGAACACTATTACACTTAAACTTTTATTACTTTGTTTATTGTTAAATGTTGGTCCACGGACCACTTTCTTGTTTATAGCTGTACCAAATGAAAAACAAAATCGGTCTTATTGCCGTCCCTATAACAGGAATGGTTCAGTTTCTAACCTCCTTTAAAAATATACATTTTACAATCCTGGCACCTCCACAAAGGTGACACCGACAATAAATACACTGGTTTGGTGGTTTTAGTTTTCTTTGCTATTAAAAGTCTCCAAACTACCTGTTGTAGGCCCTTTCTTTTTTTGATTTCTCCAGTGCCTTGTCCATGGTTTTCTCGTTTTCTCCTCTACATTTGGGGCAATACCATTTACCCTTTGGTTTATGATTCAGTCCCACACATGAGAAATGAAACCACTCAATTGGACACTCGTCATTATCACATCCTATCATTTCTCCGTAGGAGACTTGATTACACAAGCAGTATGTTGGCTCATTGGGATCAATAGGAAGATCTGCTGGAGAAGCTTCTCTCTCTGCTTTTGCCTTGGAGCGCTTCTTTTTCTTGGATGTTTTTGCTTTCTTCTCTTTTGGAGTTCCTGAGGTGATGTCATCGTGATCGTGATTATTAGAAGCATTTTCTCGATTTTCATTATTCCTTTGCCGCCTTGACCTCTTGTTGTTGGGCTTTTCTGCCTGAGTGACTGTCTCACTCTTTGACTTATCCTGACTGGCTTTGCCACTGTTCCCAGTAGTGTCGTTAGTCTCTTGACAAGTCTCAAATAGTTCCACGTGACCATCCACTTGTCTGGTTCTATTCTCAACGAGCTCCACCATCTGGCTGACAATTTGGATTTTTTCATCTCCCAGCTCCTGACTCCTGATCAATGCTCTCTGTATGCAATGCAACAGTCTTCTCTTCTGCACTGCATCTGTCTCTCGTTTGAACTTTTCATAATAATCATCCAGCTCCTTTAAGATCTCTGCAAAAGAAAAATAAAAACTATCAATATTATGCATAGGCAGAAAGTCTGAACAAAACCTTCCCATATCTATTCCTTGCTAATGCAGCAACACCTTCTTGTAAAGTGCAAAACTGATCAAAGGTGGACTCTCCAAAGCTGGAATCTGACAACAAACAGCTCATATCTCTAGCAGATTATTTTTGCTTCAGCAGGTCTCTCTAGAACAGAATGCAAATGCAACTGGTTTGGATTTAGAAAACTGTTATTTCATTGTTGACTGCTGAACTCTGAGTGCTTGTACATGTGTCTAGTGGCAAGTGATGTCTATGAAACAGCTTGTTGCAAACAAGGGGAAGTTATAGAAGACTAACAAATGTGTACCTTGGGTCTTGAGCCTGTTTCCTTGTAGATAAATAAATATTTTAAACTAATTTCCATCAGTAGCAACTCCAAAATTAGTTCAAAATTCAGAAACGTGAGGAAGACACTGGTTATTTTTCAGACCATCTTCTAAGTATTAACATTCTTTGAAAAAAAAAAAAAAAAGCCCACAAAGAAACTTCCTCCAAATTAAAGATGACAGAATTACATAAGTTTTGCTCACAAGAAATGGTTGAAAGAGGCAGAGGGAGCACAAATCACTGCAGGAAACAGATACTGAGTGAGTTAATGATGACACCCATACTTTACAGCTGATGCAGAAATCAGAATGTCATGGACTGGCTCCTGAGCAAAAAAGAATCTTTGCTTGATAGGGCAGATAAAACTGTTCCAATTGTCCGTTCCTCCAGTTGTAGGGCTAAAAAGGACTAGAGCCCTGGTTGCAGGATAAAGGTCAGCCCCTTTTGGATTTGTTTTTTCCCCTCCCACACGTTCTTTGAAATAGTTGCATTATCTTGAGTAAATACATGGATATGTTTTCTGTATGCATTTACCCAGAAGAACCAAGAAAACATTAAAATAACATTAGGACATTATAATATTTTGCATGTCAGAGTTTTTTACATGTATCAATCAAATGCATTTATCATATAGATTTGTCAGTCAAATGTAGATAATTTAAGTGGCACTATTGTAATACTGTAAGGTTTTATTCAACAGAGTGTTTGAGAGATCAGTCTGAAGAGGAAGACACTTTAAATGCTTAAGTATGTGGTTCTAAAGCACCACTAGCTTGATCCAACTCCCTTCAACAGAAGCGAGATGTAGTATCTGCTGAAACTCTCTTCTGTTTCCTCTTTATAAATATACTCAACCCTAAGGGAGATATCTAGAATATGGACTTTTAAACCACCTCAGATTCTAAGCTGTTTCTCCGTCCGTTCACCTTGAAATAAGGTTAGATTGATAATCAAAAAATGAATCTTTAGAAAGAACATAACGTTTGCTGAAGCATAAAACTAACAGTTTTACTCCAGTAAAAGTTATGATCCTATCCAAATTCAAATTAGATCTCAAAAGGTTTTGTCTCTGAATTTCACAAGTGTGAATACCTATTTCCCAAATCAGATTCATTTTTGGACAAAAGATATTCTAGCAGTAACTGATATTAAATAACACTGAAGATCGTGTGACTTAGGCTTTATGTCTAGGATAAAAATGTGTCTTTTCCAGATCATATTTACAAACACATCCTAGAACTCTGATGCAGACAAACTAAGTTCTGCTTTAGTTAGTACAGCTGCAATAGAGGCTCCCTGCCAGGGTTCAAAGCAGCCAGCGAGCAGGTGCTGAAGTGTTACTTGCCTCCCCTCCCCAAGAGCTTCAGTGTGTTGTGACATGCCAGCTTGCATATTCTTATAAAACAAAGTACCTTTCATTCTACTGATGACAAACCCTCCCAAGTGATTTAAATGTCCATCATCAATTATTCTTAATGACTGAAAGAAGTTCTATGATACAATTTCGGGGCACTTGATTACTGTCACTGTTAGGTTAGCCCACATGAATGTGATATAAAGATCATTTTTCTCGGAGAAACAGTTTGCTTTACTTAGAGCCAATATGCTTAAATATAGGCTACTAAAATGTAATGAGTTATCTAAAATAGTTAAATTTATTACTCCCAGCATATTGCCAAACTGGATGACAGATGTGGAAGCGCATGGAAAAAATGCCATTTTCCAGGAGCTGCTTAATAATTTATCATATTGAGAGAAAAGCATTTAATTTAGTCCCGATGGTCTTAACTGTGCAAGGTGCTAAGCACTTCTCCTGTGTTGCTAATCAAGTTGCTCAGCAGACTACAGAATGCCAAGCAAAGTTTGCTGCTGTTTAGATACCCAGATAACAAGGGTTTCTCAGCACTAACTGGGTGTTCTTATAGATGAAGCTGTGGAGTGGATACAGTACACAGCACTGAAATGTGATGTTAAGCAAGAAAGTGTTTGCTTACCAGCCAACTGCAACTGAAAGCAGTGCTAAGTTCCAATTCCTTATACAAGGGAGGTCTGCAGCACAACCTATGTGTTCTCTGCACAAGTTAATGTTAACCTCTTCTAGTTGAAGTACTGTATAGACCCCATAGGAGAGCCTAGCCGTTCCAATGTCTCTCAGAACAGTCAAACACCCCTATAGCTACCTACTAAGCTTTGGTGCAATACAGATACCTGGACTGATAAACTTGGAAATAGATAATTTCCACACCACCCCCCTCTATTCCCTCCACTCACAAATACAGAAACAAAAATTCTGCAAAAAACCCATATTAGTTATAAGAGGCTGCTGGTTTGATTCCTGCAGGGTGTCAATCTTTGCTTGCTTCATTTTGTTTTTTTCAAAGAACATAATAAAAAAGAGATTTCATTGCAACAATCGTAGGAATAGCTTTCTAAAGGGGTCCTTAACTTTGCTAACAAGTCCAATGAAGAACAGTATCCACTTGAGTGTTCCTAGCACTCACAGTCATTCTCAACCAAGGTGTCTTCAAAGGGAGGGGAGAAATCTGACCAGTGAGATGTGAGGACCCATGTGTCAACTAACCATGTCCCAAGGTAGATTTAAATGACCTGTGGGCTAAAACATCTTGCGACCTGAGAAAGAACGCCTTGCATTTGGAAAGCTTGGCTAATTCTATTGCAACTACGTAGTCAGTCTCACTCTAAATAATCCTGGCCACTCATGTCATTTCTGGGGCATCATGGCCACAACATCCCTCTTAGACTATTATTAGATTAAAATGTCGCCATTGAAGGGAACAGGAACAGGCTTGGTCACTTGTGTGTGCTGGAGAGTCCTAAACATCCCTCATCCCTTTTTTGCTCACCCCATTCCCCTCCCCACATACTCTGAGCCCAGAAGCAGTTCAGGCTGAATCACAAGGCTTAACATAGAGACAAGGCTTTTTCTGAGTGATGTCTTTTATTGGACCAACTATGCAGTTGGGGTAGTTAGACAAGCTTTCAAATGCAAGACATTTGTCCTTAGCATGCCAAGAAGCAATTTCAAGGGAGCTGGGATGCATAGTGATCACACCCAGTGCTAATAAGGAGAGAACAATGGTCAGGGACCATGACTCAGTTTCCCTGCTCCCTGTTCAATTGGCCAAGAGCTCCTTATCTTAGAGGGAGGAATGGGAATAGAGAAGTGTGAACTTGAACAGTATAAAGCTCCCCCACACGAAGGCAGAGGGGTGGGAGCCTGGAACGTCCCTCAGTCTCTGAGGGCCCTGAGACCTCTCCACCTGGGAATGAGTATGTCCTTGAGTTCTCTGTACTTAGCTGCTCTTGGTAATGTTGCCTGATCAATAATATCCCAATAAAATGGGGGTATGGTTGGGAGGAACTTGCTCTGGCATCTCTTAGACTCAGACGTGTATTGGATGGGACCTCAAGAGGTCATCTAATCCAGTGGTTCTCAACCTTCGGTACCTTGCGTACTGCCAATCCACACGGTAAAAGAGAAACCGGAAGTCCCACCATGGCACCTCTGGTTTCATCACTGTGAGCCGAGTCCCACTTTTTCCACCATGGCCAGGGGCAACGCAGCCTGCTCGGGGCCTCCCTCCCTATCCCCCAGCACACTGATGCTGGGGAGTGAAAGCCCCGGCACCGGACATGGCGGGAGGGGCAGCAGCTGGTACTTCCAGCCCAAGCAGGCAAAGACCAAAATGCAGCACCTGTGTACCCCCTGCCCGTGTCTTGCATACCCCCAGGGATATACGTACCACAGGTTGAGAAACAGTAGAATCCAACCCGCTGCTCAAGTCAGGACCATCCCCAGCCAGATCATCACACTGATGCTGGGGAGTGAAAGCCCCGGCACCGGACATGGCGGGAGGGGCAGCAGCTGGTACTTCCAGCCCAAGCAGGCAAAGACCAAAATGCAGCACCTGTGTACCCCCTGCCCGTGTCTTGCATACCCCCAGGGATATACGTACCACAGGTTGAGAAACAGTAGAATCCAACCCGCTGCTCAAGTCAGGACCATCCCCAGCCAGATCATCCCAAAGCGTTGTCTAGCTGGGTCTTAAAAACCTCCAAGGGTAGAGAATCCACAACTTCTCTGGGTAACCTGTTCCAGTGCTTTACTACCCTCCTAGTGAGAAAAATTTCCCTATCTAACCCATGGGTGAGCAACAGAGGAGATCTGGCTGGCAGCTGGACTTGACTTCCCAGCAGCCCCTGCTCTCATTGCTTCAACAGATCTCCATGGGGACCCTAGGAGAGATGGGGGCCAGGGTCTCATGGAGACCCACGCAAGTAGTGCCACCAGGGCAACAGCTGGGCACGGAGCTGCTCCAGGGCCAGGACCTTGTGATGGTGACAGCGTTGGCCAGAGCCGCAATCCGCTGCCCCTGGGGTGTGCAGGCAATGGATCGCAGCTCTGTCCCAGCTCCGCCCTGCACTGTCACCATGGCAAGATCCGGCCCGACCCCAGAGCAGCTCACCGCCCAGCCTCAGGCCCTGCCAGCACAGCCTGGGCTGGTCTCCATGGAAACGTGCATGGAGACCAGCATCAAGGCCCAGCCTGTGCATCAAGGCCCGGCTGCTGGGGTCCCCACAGAGACCTGGTGGAGCAACACGGGCAGGGGCTGCTGGGGCTAGACTTTGCCTGCCTCTGACCTAACCTAAACTTCCTCTTTTTTGGGGGGGGGGGGGAAATTAAAAGCCCCGGGTGCGTGGTGGAAAGATGCATCCCAGGCCCCGTGAGGGAAGAGGAGGAGAGGCTGGGGCAGCGCCAGATGCCCGCTCCGGCTCCAGCTGCAGCGGACACCAATGACAACGGAAAGGGGCTGTTGGGAGGCTCTCGAGGCTGCGCAGCGGAGTGGGGGAGGGGCCGTGGACTCGGAGCCCCGCCCCTTGACGTTAGGAGACTCCGCCCCCTCCCCATCCTAGCAACCGGGCAGTTACCAACGCGCCGGGAACGCCCCGGATGTGACGCTACGCCATTGTTCTCGGACAGGAAGCGGAGAAGCTTCCTGCATTTTTGCCTAACAGACTAGCTGCAAACAAACTGAAGCATGGCCCCGCCTCCAAGCCAATCAGGAGCGAGCAGTTTTGGGGCGGAACGCGCCTATCAAAAAAGAGAGGAACACGGAAAGGTTCCCGCTCCTGTTTCCCAGCGAGCCAATCGGAGTCAAAAGTTCCGAGAGGAGCACGCTTTCTCCGGAACAACGGACCAATCAGAAGAGAGAAAAGAAACTCGTTGAGCCCGCCTTCATCATCTTAACTCGCCAATCAGAACCCGAATAAGAAGTGGCACTTACCTCCTCAGACCCCGCCCCCCCCCCCCCCCCCCTAC